TAGATTCATATAGCTAGAAGGGCTTCTGGCCTATGATTGGGATCTTTCTGGATATCTTTTTTGGATTTTGACCCCAGTAGTCTCAAAATTGCTCTACTAGATCTAATGTAAATTAGCTTCATATTAACTATTTTTATCTATAAGTAATTCTAAATATCATTTAATATTAAGAAGATAACAAATAGAATATTTAATAATCACATTATAAAATGACTAAATTTTAAATCCTGAAATTCTTAGTAATACCAATGTTTACTTTATCTAGTTTTGTTACAATATGCCTCATATTATCTAAGTAAACTGCATAGAATTTTTTAATTAATCGATATATAACTCTATTTATTAGTTTTTGAAAAATAGCAAATGCGTTTTTCAAACTAAAAGGTATTATTTTAAATTTATAAAGTCTTAAGAGTATAATAAAAACTGTTTTTGCTTAATCATCTAAATGTATCTTTATTTACTAATACCCAGTTACTAAATTTAATGCAATAAAGTATTTAACAATTCTAAAGTTTTTTAATTAATCCTACATATTAAATATTGAATATCAGTTTATAATTATGACTAAATTTAAGGAATAATATTTTACTATCAACTAATATTTTTTCATTATAATTTTATAATTATAATATAATACATATTAATAAGCTAAAATATAAATATAAATTTTAATAATAATTTTAATAGTAATAATAATAATTATTGTATTAAAAATAAATGATAATATAAATATTACATGATATTATAAAAGAAATATTAATAAAATTGATATAAGATAATTTTAATAATTATATTAACTCTAATTAAATAATATATATTATAAGAATTTGACAAATATATTAATATCTATGATTTTTATATCTTTAATGTATATAATAATTTTCAGTTTTATTATTGAATGATATTAATAAATTCATTTAATTTACTGCATTTTTATGAGTTTGAAAAGCTTTGACATTTTTAAGAGTTAAAGAGTTATAAATTATTAATCTGATAAATGAATAATTTTAAGATGAAGATGTAATAAAAATGCCTTTTTAATAAAAATCTTGATTGTATTAATCAAATTATCATTAAAAAATATTATATCTTTATCAATAACTGTAAGTTAATGTTTTGAGTATAATAATAATAAAAGAATTTAAGTTCAATTTTGTTGATAATTCAGTTAACGTCAAAATACTTTAAAAATAAAAATATAAGTAAAATGATTATTTAAATTTATAACTATAATAAATAAATTACCTGTGAATTTTAATATATTTTTCAATAAAATAGTTAAGATTATTATTAAATTAGAATTAATGTTGAACTAAGTATTCAAAATCTCAATTCTAAGAAATTTTATGTTTTTATTATTTTTTGCTATAATGTGATAATATGATCTTAACAATTATAGAAATATGTTCTAAATTAGGATTTCTACATTAGAAGAAAAGAACTTTTATTCTATCATATATATTATATATATATTTACTTATTATCTATAGCTAAAATATTATGTTTATATTATGTATAGAATTATTAATTAGAAAAAATGATTTAGTATACAGTTGATTCTATTTATAATGAACTTTTCAACTAGAACATTTTAGTTCATTATAACTAGAGTTCATTATAGAATACCTTTCTGTATACTAAACAGTTCAGTATATAAAGTAAATTAATAAAATTATTGTTTTATTAAATTTAGTTTAAAATGATAAAACAATTTATTATTCTTTATTTATGTTTTAAAATGATGAAGATCAATTTGTTTAAGATTTTTTACAGCTATTAATCTAACCCATCTATATAAATTTCTTAAAATTTTTATTTCCTTATTAATTTCCCCAAATTCTGGTTCTTGTTCATATAAAAACTTTAATATTTTATTCATACAAACTTCAGCTTTCTTTAAAGTTACCTTTTTTACTTCTTTTATTGTTTCATCTGTTTCATTGACAAATTCATCCATAAGCTTATCCTTTTCATTTGTTATTATCTTTAATATTTTTTTATCAGTAATTTCGCCTTCAAATTCATCATCAATATGAATATAATCATTTGCGGTAAGATGATCATTTCCTAATAAATAATTAATTAATTTTTCAAGTTCTTGCATTTTATTTTCACTTAAAATAATAAATAATATTTAATTTATATATATATATTTTTTATTATTTATTATAAACAACAAAATATTAACATACTTATCAGAAACTAGATCTGGAATTAGAAAACTTGCTTCTTGTGAAAGGATATTAGTTTTTACTAGCAATTTGCAATTGTTTCTAGTGATACCATAGACCAAGCTTCTGCTGCATTAAGTAGGGTATCATAAATATTATAATTTGCAAGTTCTTGTACTATACTATTTTGCAGATCATTATAAGCATCAATTCAATTTTTGATAAAAAGACGTTTGTAGTAATATTTTAATGAATAGATAATTCTAGTATTACAAGGCTAAAGAATTGTAGTAGTATTTGGTAGAAGAAATTAAACTTGCAAATTATCTAATTTTGCTTGAGTTTTATCAAGAATAATATGAACAGATACATTATTAATCAAAAGAATAATTTTTTAGTTTTTTTGTTTCATTTGGTTATTAAGTATAAGGAAAACTTCATTAAAGATACTAACTTGCATCCAGGCCTTTTTGTTTCAAAAATAATAAACAGGAAGATTTTTATAATTAAGATTTCGTATTGCACAAGGTGTTTTATACTGATAGATAAAGGTAAGATTTATTGTTTCAGTACCAATTAAATTTGTAGCATAAAGTATTGTAACTTATACTTTTCTTTTTTATATCCAACTATTTTAAAACAGGTCAAAGTTCAAAAAGGTTTCATTTTTCAAAAAAAATCAGTTTCATTAGCATTTCAGATATAGATGAGGAACGAAACCCCTTAATAACAGTCAAAACTTAGACGAAACTATATTAAGATCATAATAAGGGATATGACGAAACCCATTCGATACGACGAAAGCCAAAACTGTCAAAACTATATTAAAAATATAGAAAAGGGTATGACGAAATTATTTTGAGAAGATTTCGGCAGGCATCTATAATTCCAGATATCTTCAGATTGATAAAGCCTAAGTAGTTATTGTAACATAATTCTATCATTTTCTAGTGATTCAACAGAAGGAGCACTTGCAGATTTACCTTATTTTTAAATTGTTAAGTCCATGTCATTTTTTAAACCATTAAGCTAACTATCTGATAGATTAAAATTATTAATATGAAGATTATTAGCAAAAAATTGTGCTTTCATCTTAAGGATATGATCATTAATATTTTGATTTAATATAAGTGTACTATCAACCTAAAGACCAAGAGCACTTTCAAGCTATGACTATTTGGGATTACCAAATTTTTTTATATTTCCTTATTCTTCAATTGTAATATAAAACTAATATTCTTTTCTTTTAAAATATCTGTTATTGTTGACTTTCTAACATTATATTGTCTGGCAAGTTCTACATTATTAATATTTGGATTTTTTTTTTATTTCACAAATTTCTCATTTTTGTAAAGCTGAAAGATTAATATGCTTTCTTTTTGACATGAAAATTGATTTGTTAAAAAGAAAAAATATGGCAAAGTGAAATTTTTATAAGCAAATACTTTATTTTATTGAAATAACATTAAAATTATTAATCAAACTTTTTTGCTATAACAATTTATCATGAAAATGATGATTAATTTTAACGAATCAAATTTGATAATAATCTATTGATGATCAATATATTCGGTATATCAAAATAATAATAATATAATGGTCTGGTTGAATTTAGTTCAGATGTAGTATATAAAGATTTATTAAGCTAGTTCAGTATAACTAGAACTAATAATTATAGAAAATTCAGTTCTAACAACTTTAGTTCATTATAGTCAGATTTCAGTATATACAGGTTCATTATAAATAGAGTCGATTGTAAATAATAAACTTACATTTGAATTGACATTACTACTTTATGCTAGTAATGAAGTTACAATTAATATTGATATACCAGTCATTCCTTTCTATAATCACCCCCTGTACAATCACATCATATAAATCCTTTATTATTTCTTAAACTATAAAGGTTTACAGGCAAATTTGCCTGCTTATTTACTATAAATTCCCTTCTGATTTACTTTTATGAAAAATTAAAATTTTAAAAAAATTTTTTTTTAAATTAATTTTATAAATATATATAATATTATAGTAAATT